CTTTGCCCTGGATTCATTGCTTTTGTGCTGCCTTCTTGTTCTTTGTCCTTCTCTTAGGGGTTATTTTGTCATGTCTCACATGCTTTACTCATTTTCTAACTTTAAAAACCCTCTCTTTTGAGTTCATTTCTCTAGTGTTCCTTTTGTATTTTATAAGCTGCTTGACTAGCACAAAGTCAAGATAGCAGAATACTCTGAGCTTAAGGCTCTTGCATGCAGTGTGAATGCAGTAGGGATTTTGCCCAGTGCTATTTGTGACCCAGCAACAAGTCTTGTAGTGAATCTTCACTCCCTTTTGTGTCCTTCCCTGGCAGGTCTATGAAGAAGCCTCCGAGAGGAGTCGTGAGAACCCAGCGTCGCAGGCGTTCCAAGTCTCCCATTCTTCATCCTCCAAAGTTCATCCACTGCAGCACAAAATCGCATTCCACGTGCAGCCAGCTGGTGCAGAAGAGCCAGCTGGATGCCCAGGACGACAGCAGTGGGTTTGGGATGCCAATCTCCAGGGAAGCTGGTGCACACGGACGATGCAGCGCTGCTCCTGACCTTGGCCACAAGGGAGCTGAGGTTGAGGCTTTGGGGGTTTCTGTTACACAGTTGACATCGGAGAACAGGCAGGAGAACTCTCCAGCTGCAGCTTCTCTGGTGCCCAGAGCCAGCCTAAAGACTACGGAGCTTTCTGACTTCCAGTCCATGTGCAAGCTGAACACGAGTAAGCCGTGTGCCTGTGCAGGTAAAGCCTGTCAGTGCAAACTGTGGCAAGACATGGAAGTGTACAAATTCTCTGGCTTGCAGAACAGCCTCCCCCTGGCACCCGACAGAACAGTTCCTGAGGATCACTCGCAGCCTTTGCCATCAAGAACTCCCTCAAGTTCTCCACGCTCTTGCTCTGAGCAAGCCAGGGCCTTTGTGGATGATGTGACAATAGAAGACCTTTCGGGATACATGGAGTATTACTTGTATATTCCAAAGAAAATGTCTCACATGGCAGAAATGATGTACACCTGACAGCAATGAGTGCCAGAAGGGTGGCTGGTTTAAATCTGCTGTCACACTCATGTGAAGATCCAACCCACTCCCTGCTCACTTGCAATAAAAACACTTCTTTGCATCTCAGCTGATGTTCATTATTTAAGCTGGACCAACAGTTCAGTTTCAGCATTATAATTTAAACTTGGAATAGATAACGAGGTAAAATGTACCTAGATCGTACCTGCCTGTACTTAAGACCCAACACTTGGGAAATTCTGTTTTTGTTTTCAAAATCCTCTTTTTGTTTTGCTGGGGGAAAAGAGTCCCTATTTTGCATGGTGATTAGAGCCCTTATTGTCAGACACTTGGTGTAATTCAGTTTCTTTGAAATCACTTTGACCTCAGGTTTCAACACTTAGGCTTGTGGTTTTGGATGCTTGTGCCTCTGATTTTTTTTTTTCATAAAGGATTGTGACCATCTCCCCTTGGTACTGTTACCACTCTGGGCAAATTCAGGAGATGGAGTCACCTCTTCTTGAGTAGAGGCAGTGGTATTTCTTTGTGCCTGAAGAGGCTTTATTTCTGATGGGCTGATCAGCATCCTCCTTCCCTGTCTGGGATGAGGTTAATGTAGTCAGATGCTCTTGGGTTAACACCATTTCCTTGCTGGGCTACCTGTTGAGAAAAGAAACTTGGGTGATCAAAGCAAGATTGTTTCAAGAGGTTTCTGATCTCTGTAGCGTTGATCAGTGGAAAATATTGGGAAAGTGGAAACAAAGCTTTTATTAAATGTCCAACAGGCTTTAGAGACTTGTCTGCAGCAGGAGAAACACCCTGTGTCCTTCAGGGGAATTGCTGCTGCAGTTAACCAAAGGAAAAATGAATCTGTGGGCTCTGTTCAGTGTAGTTTTAATGAAGGCCAAAGCAGCATTTGCTCACTTCAGTGGTCTTAATTCACACGCTCTGGTGGTTGAGGTTTTTTTTTAGCTTCTTTTTCATCCTGCTCTAACACCAAGTATAACCTTTCCTTCAAGTTTTAAGACCTATAGACTTGAGTGAACAGTTGCCAGTTGTAGGGATGTCTTGAACAGTATGTTTTCTTTCTCCTCCACTCCAGTCTTTTTGCTAAACCATTGTCATTTTAGCTGCCTTGTCCAGCTTTGCATTCTTCCTGGAATTTACTACTTTGGAAGCAAGCAGCTCACTACCCATTGTGTATCAGCCCAGTGTCTCTTTTGTAAGCCTTTAGCAAAGGAGCATCCCATCAAATAATATAATTTCTTGAGGGAGAGAAGAGTTATGTTTGGTTTGTCTTCACTGTTTGCAGTACCTGAACTTTTCTGACCTCTGAGGTCTGGAAAAGAAACAGGCACAAACATTTCCCTGTGAAATCCTTTGGTGTTGCTCTTGTGGTTTTTTTTGTTGTTTCTGTGGTATCTTAGAACAAGTGGCCTCATAAATTTACCTGTTTTGCCAGTTCTGAAGTGTCATCTACCCCTTGCAGAATGTACCTGGGTCCCACATCTCCTTTCCGTGTCCCTGCTCTTCCATAGCTACATTTCTGCCACGGTGTTCTGGATTCAAGGCAGTTATTTGGTAACTCTTTTGGTAACTATTGTCTGCAAAGTGACCTTATTTCTCAAACAGTTATTCTCTTTACTGTTCCCAAATGCAAATTCCAACCACGGCACCATTGTGGGGCTGAGAATGCCTTTCAAGACCGAGCTGCTTTTTACCATTTCTTTGTTAGTCACAGGCCTGCAGGGTTTAGGATTGCACTGTCCACTGCCCAGTACTGCGTTAAAGGGGCTTGAAATCCAGGAGGTAATGCAAAAACAGAGTAGAAAGACACGAACTGGTGGTGACTGTGGAGGGAGAGGAGCAGTGCTGGGCCACTAGAGGTCAGTCCTGGCCGTGTGGGTTGGCTGCTGACACGGGCTCAGCCTTCAGGGGAGAACGTGAATTTTTCTGCCAAAAGGAAGAAACAAGACCAGCTCTGTGCGGTGCCCTTGTGCACACACACTGTTAGGGCTTTCTGAGGTTTGGATTTGTTGGTGGTCAAAAAAAAGCTCTTTAAATGCCAACATCTGCATAAGCTATTGATGTTTAAACAAACATTAAATGAAGTGTTTAAACACTGAAGTGTGCAATCCGTTCACAACTGTGCTATGTAATTAGAAAAAGTTGCTAAGTAAATAATTACGTGGTCCTGAACTTGGCATCCTCTTGGGACAGTTACGACATCTCTGGGCTCGTAAGTGCTGGAACACCATGGGTAGCTGCAACTGCTGCCTTAACACTTTCCCTTCTGTTACTACAAGGTGTTTCAAGATGTTTTGGTCTTCCCAGAAACCACAGAACTAAAACCTCTGGTTTTGCTTTGAGAAAATAGGAGTTTCCAGCCCTTGATCATGCAGCAAGAACTTTGAAAACATGCCTGAGTAGTCTAAAAGCTTGGATTTACGGAAAAAAATATCGAGCTTGAGCCAATTTCAAAGTCTGACTTTTTCTTTTTTTAATTAAGAAAGCTTTTGAGGGCTGGTTCTGCCAAGCAGCACTTCTGAGTAGTGTTGGAGTCTCTTACCAAAGTGCCCCTTCCTGCCTGTGGCTGAATAGAAGTGAAGCCTTTTGTAATTAGCTTTGTAGGGGGCACTTGGTCCTTCTCACCTGTGTCTGCAGGTGTTCTGTGTTTATGTGCTGTCTATACACACTTAGCTTTTCTTGCAGTTATATATATTGTGTGGTTTCTCTATACATCTTCCTCCTAGAAATGGCAGTGAGGTTGTCCAGGTGGTAAAATGGTGTTGTGTGAGTCTGGAACTCACCACTGCCTGTGGCAGCTTTGCCCCAGAGCTTTGTGTGGGTTTTGGGAGCTCCCCTGGAAGGGCAGGGCATGGCATGGAATGGCACAGCCTGCTGATAGCACCCCACAGCTCCTGCAGCTTCCCAGCGTGGTGCTCAGTAAGGGGAAGGTCATCTCCCCATGGTCTTGCTGTGAGTGTCTTTAGGAATGGGACAGGGGTGCTGGAAGAAAGAGGGCTTGGATTAGCCTGTTACCTGGTCTTTCATTCCTTGTCCTCTACCATTTGATGATGTGAATTGTTACAACGTGGGCTGTCACTGCCCTGTCTCTCTGCAACTGTTCCAAAGGCACGGTCTCACCTTTCTTTTCCACACATAGTGAGGCTAATTTATGCTGCCAGCTGTTAAACAGAAGATTTTGGGAAGTGTGTTGTTTTTTGGGAGAGAAAGGTGAATGACTGCTTGTGAATTCCTTTCGTTACCCTAAAGCAGCTTTGGAAAGTCACTCTGAAGGAAGCAGAGGGGCAGCGTGAGCTGTGCACTGCACTCTGGGTGAGGGCTGTGCTCTTCCTCCTCCTTCCACCTCTACCGTGTGAGTGACCTGTCCCCCGGTGCTCCATCCCCGCATCCCGCGGGGCTCCCGGTGCTCCTGGGGGGGAGCGAGGCGGCCCCTTCCCAGGCTCTATTTTAAGCAGACATTTACTTTCCCAGCCTCTTCTCCGCCTGGATCCCTGCCCGAGGCGGGGGACGGCGGGGGGGGGTGGGATGTGTCTCTCTCCCTCCTTCATAAAAGGGCCCCGAGGCGGGGGCCGGGCTCCGGGGGGTTATTTTTGGGAGCAGCTCCTGGGATCCGATGGCCTTGTTAGGGCAGCGCTGACCTTTCTCCCGGCGGGGGAGGAGAGCGGAGCGGGACGGGGCGGGCGGCAGAGGCCGGGCGGGGAGAGCGGCCGGCTCGGGACCCCCTTCCCTTCCTCCGCCGTGGGCTCGGGACCCCCTTTCCTTCCTCGCGGGGTTCGGGACCCCCTTCCCTTCGCCGCCGCGGGGGTGGCTCCCCGGGCGGCCCATGCCCGTGCCCGCCGGGCAGGTACCGGCGCGGAGCGGCTGCCCCGACGGGGGGGCTGGAGCTCGGCCCGCCCTTCTCCCCTCCTTCTCTCCCAATTTCTCCTTCCTCCCGTGCCCCAGCCCCTCGGCCGGGCCAGGCGAAGCAGGAGCGGCCGCTCCCGGTGCCCAGCCCGCTCCCCCCGGGGATGCGGCAGCCCCGGAGCGCTGCCCCTGGGAACGCTGCCCGGCTGAGGGGCACCGGAGGGCACCATGAGTGGCGGCAGGTTCGATTTCGATGATGGAGGTGCCTACTGCGGGGGCTGGGAGGGGGGCAAAGCCCACGGGCATGGCATCTGCACCGGCCCCAAGGGCCAGGGCGAGTACTCGGGCTCCTGGAACTACGGCTTCGAAGTGGTGGGCATATACACGTGGCCCAGCGGCAACACCTACGAAGGCTACTGGTCCCAAGGCAAGAGGCACGGCCTGGGAATCGAGACCAAAGGACGGTGGGTTTACAGAGGCGAGTGGACCCATGGCTTTAAGGGACGGTACGGCGCGAGGCAGAGCATGAGCAGCGGAGCCAAGTACGAGGGCACCTGGAACAACGGCCTGCAGGATGGCTACGGCACGGAGACCTACGCTGACGGAGGTGAGGGTGGCTCCAGAGGGGCTGGGAGGGGGCTGAACAGCAGGACACCCAGCAGAGGTTGCGTGTTGTCCCTGCTGGTGACCTAGTCCTGTCCCCACTAGTGAGATGGGCACAGTGGTCTACCATGAGCCATGGGGGTGCTTCAGTGAAGGAGCAGAGCTCGGGGCACAACTGTGTGTGCCCTGATTTTCCCAGCTGGGCACAGCGTGCGTGGCTCGCTGTCCGCAGACACCAGGGAGGAGCAGCAGGAGCACTGACCACCATCCCTCCCTCGGGACCTGCTCTCGAGTGTCCCTATCGATATTTAACACCAACCAACTTGACTTGTGTAGTCTGTGGCTCCTGGTTCCCCAGGGACTGGGTATTCCTGAAGCAAACCAGAAGCTCCTGGGTGGTGCACAACCACAGCGAGCTGTTCCCTTGCTCCCCAGGCAGCGAGCTGGGAATGTTCTCATGTCAGATATAAGCCGATATAAGCCACCCACGGCACTGTAGCGCTCTTTACCTGTGCCTTAAACGCCGCCTGCCTGCCTCTGACGGGCTGCCTGGACATCTCCTTTGCCAAACCGTTTTGATTGAGTCTAAGCTGTTTAGAATATAGCCTTTCCCTAAAATAAATCCCTTTGATTACTTGTAAGCTTTCAACCCCTGCTACTACAGAAACGCACCACATAGTCAGATATTTGTTGTGTGCTGTAAATGCTCGGTCTAATTGTGTTCTCGCATTAGTGGCAACTTTGGGGGTTAGAAACATGGCAAGAATTTCTGTGCAAGTAATTCTGTAGCTCTTCAGCACTGTGATGTTCCAGGCTGCCACATTTAGGATGGCTAAATAGAGAGGGTGATTTGAAAGAAATACCCTTCAAAATACGGATCAGAATTGCATCTATATTTATCTACAACAGGCGTTGGAGTTAGTTTATAAAGAAAAATGGCTGTAATAGTATAAATCTTCAGAATGAAAAGCATCACAATTATAGGCATTAGAAAAATGGACTAATTCAAAACTGGCTGTCAGGGTTATGCTTTTACATAAATATTTCTCAATGAGTTGCGTGGGTTTGTGACTAATTTTAAAACTGGGAATGCAGTCTTGAAGTTGACCCATTTTATTTGCACCCTTGGCGGTTGTAGGTACAGACACGAACTGAAACATCCCTCCAACTCCTTAAATTTTCTCCCTTCTCTGTCCTGTGGCCATGGAAGGGTTTAACAAGTGCAGGATGCAGGGCCATAGTGAGAGTTCAGTGCACAGAACCTTCCCACGAGGCCATAAGAAGGGTAGGTGACATGTGAGGTGTGCTCTGATGAATGAGGAGCAGTGATCAGGTCACTGTCAGCAACGGCTGCCGTTGGGACTTTCATTCTGGAGATGTCAAGATCTCCTGTGAATTGGCACAGCCACTTCCTCACTGCTTCCTAAAATGCAGGTTCCTCTCAGGGTGAAAGGCTCCTGGAGTTCCAGTTAATGGGGAAGAATTTTGAGAGGCAGAACTTGATGAAGGATATGAATTTGATTAGATCTTGGACTGGAAGCTCGGGAGAGGAGAGCAGGAAAGATGAGTCAATGTTTTCTCCTGCAAGGATATATAATATACTGCTTCTGTCAGCACAGCTCCCCGGGGTGTTGTCCCACACCCAGAACGTGCCAGCTGCATGATCCCTGGTGCCACCCGAGGTTGGCAGTGAGGTCCTGATCCGTGAAGATGTGCCCTGCCAAAGCCACCCTGGGCAGTGCTGAGCTGGGCTCTCCCCAGGGGCTCACGAGAGCTGTGTCCTGGTGCCCAGCAACCACTCCTTGTGTTGGGCCTTCCCATCCTGGCTGGTCCGAGCTGTTCACTCAACACGTGAGCTCCTCTGATGGCACAGGGACATGTAGGAAGCTGCATCCCAAGCCAGGGTGGGGATCACCGTCCAGCAGCACCTCTGTAGGACAGGGGTGTGATGGTCTTACTGACCTGCAGGACCTTTTTGTGTTTTGTCTCCTCACCTGCACACCAGTAACCACCTGCAAGATCCAACTGTGGCCAGGCTGCTAATGGGACCTGTTAATATTTGAATTTGAGGTTGCCAAGATAAACATCTGGAAAGGCTCTGGAAATGTGCTGTCCCTCGACTAGGGGACACCATTCCCAAGCCCCTTGGAAGCCAGCCACATGAGGAAGAGGGCTCTGGGAATATGCAACTCTTGCCAGGCCAGCAGAAACTTTAGGTCAGGGTTGGGCTGCCTGCGGATTTCAGGGAAATGTAGCTGATTCTAATGTTTTAAAATAGACTTTAACTTTTTATATATAATATATAGAGAGAGACATGTATAAAAAATTTATACTTAAAAATACACTTAAAATATACTTATAGGGTTGTCTGTGCTTGAGTCTTGTGTCTGGCCAAGATTGGTGGCTAAATAAAGCCCATATCTGGAGTAAAGCTTTTTGAAATTCCATATGATTTTTGGTGTCTAGTAAGAAGCAGAGTCATGGTACAGTTTAGCCCAGGCACTGTGTGGGTCATGCACTCTTTCTCTCTGCTACAAAAAGCTCATTTTTGTGAAAGCTGTGAGAGACTGATGGTTTCAAGGAGCCTTCTGTAACAATGATTGTAATCAGCCAGGAGGTTCAGAGCTCCTGGTGTGGCTGGGCAGAGGCAGTGACACTGTGATCTTTGGATATTCAAGTTGGATATACTTGTGTCTGCTGCTGTCACCAGAGAAGAGGTCAGAGCCCTTCACAGGGGCAGGATGCTCGAGCTAAAGTGGATGGTGACTGGGGCTGTGAAAGGCACAGAATTAAGGAATTCATTGTTTTGCAACATAAGCTATGAGTAAACACCTAGTTATTTGGTTTCCACTTGTGAGTTTTGTCCATGCTGTAAGGAAGGCCTCATTTTTTGGATACTTTTTTGTGTTTGACTCTGAGTCAAAACCCAGTGAAGTGTTACTGCAGAAAGCAATCTCGCTGCTGATGCTAAATCATGCTGCACACCCAGGATTCAGCCCAAAGCTTGTCTTTGCTGTACAACTGCTTATATATATCTGTATGGGTCAAAAAACTCACTTGCAATCAAAGCGGCCTAAAACCAACTTATTTTTGATGCTGCAATTTGTTCTCTAGGGCACCAGGGAAAACAGTGGTGGCAATTAACCATGAGGAAACAATTAGACCAGTCAGTGATCACAAGACCACAGAAAAGGGGAAGAGAAATGCAGAAGTGTGCTTTACTGGGGAGATGAAATGGGTGATATGGAGCAGCACAAATCCCTGAGTGCCTGTGGCAGGGAAAATACAGTGGGAAGTGACCTGGGCTGGGACAGAAGGAACAGCATCCATGGGACTGCAGCTGGGAAAGGAGGAAAGGGCTCTGGAGAGCCAAGATGGTGCTGGCTTGTGTCTGCTGCCTCTGTAGAGAAGCTCCTGCCTGGCTGAATGGGACCCATGAATTAATATGGTGATTTTTTTTTACCCTCTAGTGGTTTTTTTCTGCCTTTCTTTTCCAGCAGAATCCATCAATTAGTACAGTTGGCACCAAAAAGCAGTGCTCAGTTTTTGCTGACCCATCTTGCACGTGATGCTGTGCATTCTTTTAACATTCTTTTAACACTGAGTTCTAATGCATCTGTCCTTGCAATATCTGGGTGACAGCAGAGGGCTGTAGGGCAGGGATTTGATTTGAGCTGTTTGCATTATTACCTGGTTGTTTGTGTTATTTACATTCATCACTAATTACATGAGAGCCTTGAGGCAGGCTGGGAAAGGGAGGTGTGGCACTGCTGGTGGTGGGCTCTCTCTGCCATTTGGCATTTGGCACCAGGAGCTGAAACTTGCACCTCTGCTGCAGCTCTGCACCATCCCATCCTGCTGCCAGGGCGAAGCAGAGGGTTCTCCCACCCCATCAGTGTGTCTGGAGGTGAAAGCTACAAGGTTGCCATTTCCATCAATCCCACAATTGAATCCTCTCCTTGCTATGAAGTTACCTGGGCAGCATCCCCTGCTTTGGTCGGGGGTGGGCAGAGGTGATGAACTGCATCCCTGGGGGTCGCAGAGGTTTTTGTCATTATGACAAGTAAAAATGCAGGCAATAAAGGCTTAGGGCTGGGGAGTCAGGGAAGTGGTCTCTGTCCCATTTTCATCCTAAATAAGAGATTTATTTGTTTCACATCCACTGCTTTTTAATGATTTTTTGCAGAACCTCAGGCACGTGTGAGCCCGTGGCTGCCTGGCTGCCAGCTGTGTGTCCTGCCTGTCCCCCCTTGCCCAGGCTGTTTTGGTACTGGGGGGTGGGAGTGGCTCAGGGACGTGCAGCCCTGCTGCAGAGAGGCTTTGCACAGCCCCATTGTCTCTTGAACTGGCTGCACTGGGACGTGTTGGTGAGACAGGGCTTGGCTCCTCTCAGACCCTGCGTGCCCTGACACACGGCCCCCGGCGCCTCCAGCCGCTCCCAGCGGCCTCTGGCTCTGCTCCAGGGGTGGTTTATGGCCCTGCCCTGGCACAAAGCCTCAGCCAGACAGGGAATTGCAGCATGACAGGGGCCTGGCAGTGCCTGCTCGCCGTGTGTCAGTGCCCTCCCTTCAGCCAGGCGGGGTTGGCAGGTTTGGTCACACCACGTGTCACAGACACAACGTTGCTTGTGCTGAATGGGCTGAAATCAGGCAGCAGAGACCAGCCTGCAGAGCTGGTGTCAAATTCTGTGTTGGTCTAAGAAGTGCCAACCCAATCTCTGCTCCATGAAGACCCACTGTGCCATGTGGCTTTTCCCATCCATGTGGCTCCAATGCTTCCAGGGGAACAGAGTGGGGCAGGGACTTTCTGGAGTGCAGTGGCTGCTCCAACATGGCTCCTAGGGAGCAGCTGAGCCCCCCTAAACCTGCAAGACTTTTCCAGAGTTCCTTTTCCAGGGAATTAACATGGCAGCACTATCAGCTGCAGCCTGATACGTGTGAAGTTGTTCCCATCCCAGGAGAAGGTCTCCAATGTCACCCCGATCGTGTGTCAGCCCTGCTGGCTGGCTGGGCAGGCAAGGTGGAGCCCTGACCTCATGAGCTCTCAGTGGGGAGTGATGTGGGGGCACCATGGGGGTCTCTATAACTTCATTTTTCACTAGGGAGACTCATCACCATTTTATGGAGAGGGATTTAGGACCACGGTGAGGAACATGCTGAGGTGCCTGGGCATCTCCAGTGATGGTTCTTGGCTCCTGGATCATGCCCAAACCCACACCGCCCACCTTATTTTTCCTTAACAGAGCTTCAGGCTCTGCCAAGAAACCAGGCAATGGCCCCTTGCTCTGGCAGATGGCTCCCCATGGTTGGCTGCCCTCTTCACTACCTGAACCCCTACTTTTTTTTGTAGGAGAGACCAACTGTTTGCAGGGAGCCCAAAATCCTGCGTGCCGTGGGGTCGGCAGGGGCTGGTGGGGGGCGGCTCACTCAGGGCAGCAGCTGCTGCCTGCTTGGACACTTCTTGTCTTTCCTGGCCCTCAGCACTGTAAGTTAACACTCCACAGGCGGGTCCAAAGAGGATTTCAACGAAACCTGAAGCTTGGGAGGAGAGATTATGCTGCAGAAGTGGCCTGGGAGAGTGTAAAATATGCACTCTCACAATCGCCAAAGAAGGAACTGGATTTGCTCCTTGGGGAGCAGGGTTATCCCTGGGCTCAGTAACGGTGTCTGAGGGGGCAGATGAATGCCTTGAAGAGGGGTCACACCCTCTCATCTCAACCTGGCCCTGCCTGAGCCTCCCCAGGACCCTGGGAGTGCCTGCTCTCCCAAAATCACGTGCAGGCTGCCTCCTGCTCCCTGCTCTGGGTGCAAATCCCATACAGGAAGTGGCTTTGGGTTTACACCAGTGTTGCCTGATGCCCCAGCCCCTTTCCAATGAGCTGTCACCTGCCAGCAGAGTCTCTTGGGTTTGTCCTCTGCTCTTTGCTCCCTGGAGGCTGATGCTTTTGCGTGTGGGTGAGCACTGGTGGAACTGGGGCTCCCCTTTGAGGGATGGCGGGTACATCTCCCCTAGGTCGGTGCCACCCCGCAGCCCACCTTCCTTCCTTCGCTGGCTCTCCTGGGGCCCAGCTGCTCGTTCACCCCGTCCCTCTTCTCTCCCGCAGGCACCTACCAGGGCCAGTTCACCAACGGCATGCGGCACGGCTACGGCGTGCGGCAGAGCGTGCCCTACGGCATGGCCTCGGTGGTGCGCTCCCCCCTGCGCACCTCGCTGTCCTCGCTGCGCAGCGAGCACAGCAACGGCACCCTGCCCCAGCAGGACTCCCCCGCCGCCCACCCCGAGAGCCTGCCCCTCTCGCCCACCATCACCCGCGGCGGCTTCGCCCTCAGCCTCTACGCGGACGCCGAGGCCGGCAAGCCCAAGAAAGGGGGGCTCTTCCGCAGGGGCTCCCTGCTGGGCAAGCTGAAGAAGTCCGAGTCCAAGTCGTCCCTGGCCAGCCAGAAGAGCCGCGTCAGCTTCCTCAAGAGCGAGAGCGGGATCAGCTCGGCCGCCAGCGACGCCACCTCCACCGTCAGCCTGGGCGAGGGCGCCGAGGGCGAGGAGTACACCCCCTTCGACTCCGACATCGACGCCACCACCACGGAAACCTACATGGGCGAGTGGAAGAACGACAAGCGTGCCGGCTTCGGCGTCAGCGAGCGCTCCAGCGGGCTGAAGTACGAGGGCGAGTGGCTGGACAACCTGCGGCACGGCTACGGCTGCACCACCCTGCCCGACGGCAAGAAGGAGGAGGGCAAGTACCACCACAATGTCCTCATCAAGGGCATGAAGAAGCGTGTGATACCCCTCAAGAGCGCCAAGATCCGGCAGAAGGTGGACAGGAGCGTGGAGGGGGCTCAGAGGGCCGCGGCCATCGCCCGGCAGAAGTCGGAGATTGCAGCGTCCAGGTGGGTGCTCGGAGCTCCAACGTGCAGGTCCCTGTGGTGGTGGTGGTGGTCCCCATCTCACGTGGTCAGGACCTGTCCTCTTTCTCGCCCCCTCTCTTGTCCCCCTGCAGCTCTGGTCTGTGGGGATGCTGCTGGACAGCAGGGACTGGCACCAGCCCTGGCGCTCAGCAGGATGGGGAGTGTGAGCTGGTGGGATGGGGAGCACCCTGGTGCTGTGCCAGGCTGCTGGAGCTGCTGGGCACTGATGGGGCAGCATGACAAATAGTGGAGCTTGATGGTGGTAAATCCAACAGGCTCACGAGCAGCCAGTGAGACGTGTCCCAGACAAACTGGGGCTGCAGCAGAGCACGGCTCAGCCCCTGGTGTGGCTCTGTGGGGAGCTTGTGGGATGCATTAGGGTTGTCACTTAATTTTAGCAGCACAGTGTCATTACTCCAACACCCCTCCTGGGACAGAGGAGGGAGGAAATAAGAGAGGCTCCAGGGTCTGCCTGGGGAGGGCAGGGGAAGTTATCCCTCCCCAGCTTGCATCCCTGCCTATGTCCGAGCTGTGTTGGCAGCATGCTCCTCCTCCTGCAGGATTCCTGCAAGTCTCAGAGCCGACCTGGCAAAGACAGAGATCTGGGAGGCAGGGTTGGAGCCTCCCTTCCTCTCCTTTTCCTTGGGGAAATGTGGTTGTAACACATTTTGAGGTTTCACCTGGCCTCTCCCTCAAAACTTCCCCACATAGGCTTTCCTCAGCTGCTGGGTGGTGGCTGCGACTCCACATCTGTCCTGTCTCACTCCTTTAAATTCCTGTTTAATTATCAGTGACTTCATTATCAAGCAGAGAGGGGAAATAAGCAAGGAGGACACCTATTCCCAAACCCTGTCTCTCCCCTCAAAAAATCCCAGCTTTACTCTCCCAGCTGCTGTTTCTGCTCTGAAATTTTGTGGGGAGCGTGACTGAGATTTTTTAGCAAAACACAGTTGCCTCAGAGAGTGGTGGAGAAAACCCATCAGGATTGCAAGTGAAGCTCCGTGCAGGGCCAGCTGGGATAAAAATAACAGTCTGGGGCAGCGTGGGGCCCGCTGGATCCTCCTGGCAGGGCAGGCTCAGCCCAACCAGCTTCGCTGTGCCCGGGAAGAGCGTGTGGCTGCGGTGTGAATAAGGAGGCTGGAGCTGCAAACGCTGCTCCCCGAGAGCTTGGCTGGTTTACACAAACCTCTTTTTATTATACACTATTTACACTTTGGATCAAAAGCAGCTCTGCAGTGTTTTCCATCAGGAGCTGGAATGCGCCCGCTGCCCTGGTGGGGGACTGCATCCCTCCCCAGTGCCGGGGAATAATTTCCTATTAAGGAAACCTTGGAGCTGGAGGAAATAAGACGTGAGAGCCGGTTTCCTCCAGGGAGCCCTGGGCTATCAGACCCTGCAGTGGTGTGGCTGCTGGGGCAGGGAAGGGGTTGCTGTGCTCCCTGGCACTGTGGAACCCCAGTCCCGTTCCTGGGGCACTGTTTGCAGCTGAGCTGGACCCACTGAGAGAGCATTCAGGCTCCTCCATCCTCTAAACTATAACTCAGTGTTTCCATCAGTGTTTATTCCTGGTGTATGTTGCTCTGAGCAGAGCCACTCTCTACTTGATGTCTTTTGTAAATTCGACTTGTGCTCTCCTCCCTCCTCCCTTCAGCTCAGTTTTGGGGTTGAGAGTAAATACAGACAATTTTGCCCCAAGAGGGTCCTTAGGTTATCTCCAGCTCTGCCACTGACTTTCGCTTTGGCCTTGAACCCTTCCTGAGTTTCCACATCCAGGACAGAGTAATTGCAGACAGATTGTGAAAATGCATTATTGCAGTTTATAGAAGGGCTGCACTATCATTAGCATCGCCCGAGCTCGTAACTGCGAGGTGGGGTTTCCTAGATGGAGCATTCATGTTTCTCCTCGGTTTGCAGTGTGTACTTTACCCACAAAAATGCCTTTGAGGCTGCACTAATCCCTTTCTGGGGGAAGATGTGGCATATCTGTATGTAAGATTGTAACTAGGAATTAGTTGGAAGGACGCAGCAGGCTGTGCAGGTTCCCAGGTACCCCTGCATACCTGTGCCATTGTATATGAATGTTTGAGTTTCATTTGCTTCTAACACTCAAGGGAGCCCCTTGCAATAAAGAGCTGAAGTGCTGTAACATCCAGCCTTCTGTTGTCTGGGGGTGAAATGTCAGGAGAAGACCAGATTTCTCCCTTTTGCACCATAAAAGGCTCTTTTGGGATAGAAATCCTGAGGAAAACAAGCCCAGGCGCTGGAAGCTGCCTAGGGCAGTTGCACCGCAGAAATGCCAGGCACGTGCCGAGCTCTGGGGGTGCTCTGTGGGCAGCAGAGACGGGAGCCCTGCCTGGGGCTGCCCTGCCTGGGGCTGCCCTGCCTGGGGCTGCCCTGCCTGGGGCTGCCCTGCCTGGGGCTGCCAGGCGGGAGAGCAGCGCCAGCCGGGGATGATGGTCAATGTGGTCACCAAACCCTCCCTGTCCCATTTCCACTCCAAGGGTGTCTGAGGTGCCAGGCTGCTTCACAGCTCCTGTCCCACCTGCCAGCTGGTGCCAGCTACTGCCTGCCCTGCCCCAGCAGCGCTGCCCTGGCCTCCTCAGCTCCCTCCTGAATCCTCCTGGCTCGGCGATCCCGCTGCTTTCCCCATTGTGCAAGAAGCTGAGGACATCATCTCACTGTCAGCTGAGGGAATGGCAATTTTTTTTTTTCCATTCTGTTTTTCATTATTTCAAAATGTGAAAATCATCTGGCTCAGTGTCCTGCTGTCCTGAGCAGCCCCCTCAGACCAACCAGCTCCACCCTGGGCAAGGCCCCTTGGTGCTGCTCAGATACAAACCTTGGGCATGTCTATTGGCAGCGCTGGGGATCAGGTACTGGGATGGAGCTGATGAAAGCTGAGGTAGGAATCCTCGCCCAGGCTGCTGTCACTCTAGGGAAGAGTCATCTTGGAGTGCAGCCTCTGTGGCAGGCAGCAGACACAGCTTTACCCCTGCCCAGGGGTGACACAAATGGACCTTGGTGTTAGCACATGTTTGGTGTTCATTAGCTCTGCTGATGCTCCAGGGCTTGTCCTGCTGTGATCCCAAGGGATTCCCATCAGAACTGGAACACAGCTGTTCCTGAGGCACTGGGTGAAGGTACCTGCTGTGTTTCTCCACTCTCCACCCTGACTGGGAGATCATTGAAAAAATGTTGGGGTGGATGGGAAAAGCAGTGAGGGCCTGGGATCATAGCCAAGGTGATAAACTGGCTGGAGGACAGTGAGGAGGGGGCAGCCACCACCAAACTGCGAGTGAGGCAGTTCAAAGCCATCCCGAGGTGTGTAATGGGAGTTCTATGGGCACGTGGGTTAGTGCCAAACAGGGTGCCTGGGGAGTAGTGTGTGCTTGCTTATCCCATGGGGAGGATGGTCCCACTGGATATAGGGAGAAGGAGCGTGAAAATGGTCAGCTTTCACCTCTTCAGAACAAAAGAAAATAAAATAAAGCTAGAGTAAGGGCAGGACTTGGCTGCAGGGGGAATCTTTGATTTTTTCAAAACTGTGTGCTCAGTAGCTGGGCAGCTCATACTGGGGTTTTCCTTCTGACAGGTGCTTTTGGGAGATAAAATGAGTGTAAATGCTGCAAATCCCACCTCTGTCCCACTGCAAGAGCATCTGACGTGGTCTGCCTCTGCATGTGGTTGTGCTTCCCAGTGACTTGGACTGAAGTCAATGGAGGGACTTGGCCATGTGTCCTGCAAGGCACGGGCCTGGCCAAGCTCTGAGATCCTCTGACGGATGCATGTCCTGGCAATAACACCTCAGATACATCTGCCAGATGTCACAGGATCAATAGGAAAGCAAGATAGTAGAGGCAATAATGGCTGCTGTGCTTCACCCTTTTGTCGTCGGGTGCTGGCTCTGAAGCCCCTGAGGGGTTTTTGCCTGGAGAGTTCAACTAGAGATGAATACATTTTGGATTTATTTTTGTTTTAATGTAACATCTGTAGATATCTGTAAGAATTTCTAGACTGCATTCTGAAGTGTGGGGCACCAAGCCCTGATCAAGTAGGGTTTGCTCATCATGGTGAGCCTGGGCCGTGTGGAAGCACCGCAGGGCTGCTGGTGTCAGGAGTCACATCGGCTTCCCCGGCAGCGACACATGGGCATCGTTCACAGTGAGCTGCTGCCTGGTTTCGAAGCCTAAGCTGGTTTTCTGTCTGTACCCATGGCTTTGGGGCACATCTTAGCTCTCCCTTCAAATTACAAGAGTGCTCCACAGCTCCCGTATCGCTTTCCAACCCTGCCCTGCCCAGCCGCATTCCCGGCAGCGCCGCCGCCGTCTCCCTGTGCTCAGCATTTCCAGGCTGCATGGCCGGGCAGCAGCGAGCGGCTCCTTGGGGAACGCGGGTGTGTGGTGCAAATGACGTCCTGAAATCGCTGCAGTCAGCAGAGGCTCCTGACTAAATAAGGGCAGGCAGAGCGGGGCTTTATCGGCCCGAGCGCGACAGCTGAGAGCCGGGGCCGGGGCAGCCCACGCCGCCGGGGTTCGGCCACACACTCCCACCAAAAGCTGCTTTATTTGGCACAGCTCTGCCCCGGCGAGCTCCTGCCCTTGGCCCCGCTGCTCTTGGGGGTCCAAGCTGCAGGTGGGGAAGGTGGGCAGCCAAAGGGATGTCACCTTTTGGCGAGGCACAGTGCGTGTCCAGCACAGAGCTGGGCTGGACTGGTGGCCGCGGTGGCCTCGGCCCTCCTGGGGCTCACAGCACAGCTCAGCCAGGTTTCGGATCTGGGATTTTAGGTCTGTTGAATCAGACTTGGGGTTTGCTCTGAAAGTTTTAGTTTTTTGTTTGTTTTTTAAATATGCATTGATTTCTGCTTTCCTCAGGCTTTTAGCCGGTGGCACAGGCATTAGACACTTCAGGAGTTCCGCACATTCCCAGACCCTCAGGTCAGAGGCCAGAGGGCAGGATGCTCATGGCCACCATGGAAGAGCAGG